TTATTATCTTTTAATAATAAAATTAATAATAAATTATGTAAAATTCAGAAAGTAATAAAATATTACGAAATGAAATTTTCTATATATATATTGAATTATAATGAAAACAATTAAATTTGAAGTAATCCAAAAATAATAAACCTAAAACAAAATACATTAAAATACTAGCTATTAAATTTTGAAAGTTTATATTATCATTAAAAAATTTAGTATTGAATTTCGAAGGTTTTCGATAATGAAATAATATATATCAAAATTTAACTATTAAATTTTAATTTTAAAGGGTTACAATACAATCGATAATCTTCGAAATTTAACATTGTGATATAATTTAGAAGGTTTTCGAATTAATATAATTACTGATGTATAATTTGGAGATGATTTTTGATTTATATTTAAAGTTTTTAATATTTTTAATCTAATAATAGTATTATAATCACTTTCCATATATAGCAAATGTAATAAATTTAAAAATGTGATTATAAAAATTTGTCTATATTATATTAAAGATATTCCAGAAATTTTATTGTTTTGCAATTATAATATTCAATAATCAGATACATATATATTTAAAAATGTATTTCTATTCTTTTAGCTAAAATAATCATGTATAATCAAGGAAGAACAAAAATCCTTGATATTATGAAAAAAGATTCTTGACAATTTCACTCTTCTGAATTGATATTTTTTGAATACTAGTTATAACTAGCTAAAAGAATTACATTTACATTTGCTGTATTTTATCATATGACAGATACAGAGCTCTGCTCATTAATATCGAAGTATAATAGTATATTATTTATTCCATCAATATATTTATCACTTTTCTTTTCTTCCCTTATTTTCTATTTTTTGTGATACAGATCGTACTATATATTCTGTTGAATTTCTAATAGTATTATAATTTACTACTTCATCTTTATTCATGATTAGATAAAAAATAGATTCACTACAAATAGATTTTAAAAGAGCTTCTAACAAAAAGGATTCAATTTCTACTATTAATCTTGACATAATGAAAATAAAAATTTTAATTATATATAGATAATGTTATAGTAAAGATGTGACTAAAGCTTTTAATAATATTGCTATACTCTTCTTTTAATATATTTTATTATTTCCTTTTTAGTATTTCAAAAAAATTGGTATATGCTATTATTTGTGTAAATCTTCTACAAATTTATAAAGACAATAGAGTAAAATAATTCTAAAACTAATAAACAAAACTATAAAAAGTTACTAAACTTAAGATAAAATAATCACAATATAAAATTTTTTATATTGAAGAAATTATATATGATCAATTATGAAAAAACCGTATTTGCTATTAACAATGGTATGAAGACTTGTTAATAGGAGTGAACAGTTTATCAATTATCAAAAAAATATAATAAACAAGAAACTCAAAAGATTTTGTAATATTAATTTTATTACTTAATAAATCCTAACTAACTAACTTAAAAACTTGAAATTAGGATAAACTGAATTAGAAAAAACTAAGAATGAACTGAATGAACTGAAGACTGAGTTGAGAGAATTCCCAGCTTTTATATATATGCTAGATTTGACTATTAAGCAAACTTGTAATCTGACTGTAAACTTCACTAGTATTTATGTTAATATTTTAACTGATACCTTAATTGTTAATTTAACTTGTACTTACTGAGATATTAACTTATATTCTGGCTTGTATTCTAATTTGTGTTTTAGTGTTACAGATTAATAAAAATTTAGGAATTTATTAATTTAAATAATAATCTCTAATTTGTACTACAGACTATTAAATTGATCTACTGTAATACTATATATAATAATAATAAGAAATAGATAATAAATAATAATAAAATAATAAATATACAATATAAAATATATAATAATAAAATATAAAAATAAGTAATAAAAATAGAGATAACAATGTACAAGAATAAAGAATATATATTATACTTGCATGTAAAATTTTTTTGGGATCCCAAAATTGCAATTTTGAAGAAAAAAGTCAAAATAGTTTTTTATAGAAGACAAAATTATTTTACTTAAAATCCAAAATTTTTTGACCACCCAGATTTATTCTTTGATTAAAGATACATATAACTAGGTACTTTTTTTACTTCTATATATAGAATAGATTTTGTATAAATCTCAAAAAATCGAAATATATCAAAAATCTAAAATCAATTTTGGGAACATGTATAATATATATATGTTCTATAATAAGATACTTGGATATAGGTAAAAATCTACTATACTTTTATTTTATTGCTTTTTATTATTTCTTTCATATTACACCAAAAAATAGATTAGGAAAACGATATCATATACACAAGAACAAAGGATATGTATATATCTCGAGTTGATTATTTAAACCAGGTTATTAATATCCCTATATATAAAAAGTACAATATAGTACTTTAGTTTTGCAATAAATATAAATATAAAGTTGGTAGAATAAAAAAATGATGTTATATATCTACTTTTGAGATAATTTTCACACAGATATGCAGGTGTAAGAGGTACTAATTAAATTTGGTAATTGGTGTATTACATGACTTGATGATATATGCAGATTCTATTATATTCGAATTCCTTCTATAACACATAATACATGATAGGTTAATCATTTTAATGAAAATATTAAGTTATATAAGTTATTATAAACTATAGAGGTAGAGTCTCATTATAATAAATATATTGTATAAAAATTATGTGTTAATAATTATAGCTAAAATAATTTGTTGTTAACATATGTTAAAAATCTCACAACTATTTACCAGTATAATTTATGAACCAGTTTTGGTATTTATATTTGAGAATAAACTATATGCACGAAATAGATTTTCCATTCATAAAATAATTACAATCTACTATAACTATTATTTGTTAATTTTATATACAAATTAATTATTATGAGTAATTGTACATAATCAGAATATTAACTACACAAGTGATTTTTTATATAAATATCAATACTTTGGCACTATAAGTCAAATACTTCGTACCTATCATATTACTCAGCATAAGTAATTCTAACATATAGAAAATAGTTTTAAATTGGATCTGAAAAATAGAGTGTTTCTATTTAAGTTGAATACTAAAAAATTGAGCTAGAAAGATTAACTTAATAGTAAATAGTTTTGACTGGTTAGCTCTGCTAATTCTGTACCCTTATATATTGAAACAATTTTTTTATCTTTAAGTATTGATCTAAATTAACAAAAAATGAATTCAGATATAATTATATATATTAAATCAAATCTGATAGATCAAAATATCTCTAAATATACTTAAATCTTATAATTGTTAAATATATCTAGAACACATCATAATATAAATAGAAGACTTGAAATAAATGGTAAGAATAATGTTCTTAATAGAGTTATCAATACTGAAAGACCTTATGATTCTATTAGTATGACCTTTGAAAGGGAAACATCCATTTAGTAAAGTATTTGTATTAGGATACCTCTTCAAGAGTTATATTCATGGTGAGAAACAAGATCTATATATCATAAGTATTGTCTCCATGCTTCATACATTCAAGATGTGAATTTTGATATAATTACAGCAGAGGTAGACTATATGAAGATAGTACTACAATATGTTTTTTGTTGTATGAAACTTATGCATGTCAATATTAATTTAGGTCAAAATGTAAATCAATTCAATTTGATAAAAAAACATTATGATCATGAATGCTTGAGGCCATTAACTGATTTTGGATATACAAGGGTTATACAAAGACTGTGGAAAAAATTTAAAGAAAAGGAATCATCAGATGCATAACTTGCCTGAAACAGTTTATCAAATAATAATACTTTAGATGATAATAAATTTTTAGGTTTAACTTCTCATAAAGTGAAAAATCCTCAAACTCAAGAACAATTTAATCAATGGTGTACTAAATGAATGGAAATTTATAAACAATGTAATTCTAATATTCCTCTTGATATTTATGTTAGAAATATAAAGAATATTATATTCCATATAATTGGTCAAATAGTAAAAAGAGTCAATTGTGAATTAGATTTCGAAAACAACTTTTAGAACTTGAAACATAATACATATATCTTTTTTCAAGCATGAGAGGAAAAAAGAAATAAAATTATCTGAGATATTCCTGAGGTCTAGTACTTTAAACTTTTATTTATTGCTATTTCATGATAATTAATAGCTATTTTTTCTCATCATCTGTTTCATAAATTTTACAAAAGATTTTAATTTTTTCTGTGCTGTAAAATAAAAATATTAGTTTCTTGATACTATATATTATGAAATTCAATAAAGCATATTCAAGTTTAATCAATAAATTACCTTCATCACTTGTTTGTGAATCTTAGATCTTGGAAGTACATTCCAATAATTATGTTTTTATCATTATTTCAAAAAACGCTAAAAGATTGATTCTTTTTACAGCTAGTTACTGTATCATAAAATCATATAACATGTAAGAATTTTCATATAAAACTGGCAGAATATATAATTGAATTTATAATACAATATATTAAGTGTCAACATATATAAACGTCTATGTAAATTTATAAACTATTTAATAAATTTGTTAGCATTTTTCTGGATATAACATTCTGTTGAGTGAGACTGAAAAGTTACAGTCTTATTTCTTAGGTGATATGCAAATACATTATTCTCTAAAAACTCGTTCGGTTCTACTTTAGTCAATTTTCGAAGCATACTAACATGAAGAACATTATTAGAATTTAATAAAGCCCTTATAATAATTTTTGCCATTTCATAATTTGTTTGATCTGAATTAATCTTTGCCTTTTTAAAATTATCATAGATGTTGTTAAAAACTATTGTTTTAATGTCTGTAGAAAAAAGTTAAACAATTAATTCAAAGTATTATGTGTAAATTCATTGCAAAATGATGAAACAAATTCTTACTTTCAAAAGATTGTCCAGCAATAAAATCATCTGTTACAGACTTTAGAGTCACAATATGTCCACCAACCAATTCATATAATTTTTTTGCTTTCACCTTATTGATCTTGCACTTTTTAGTCAGATATTTCATTGATTCTTCTTTGCTAAGATCTCCAATTTCAATTATTGGCTTTTTGTACATGACCAAAAACTGCATACTAAAATAAGAATAACAATCTGTAATTTAGCTATTTCTTTCAAAAATATTAAAAAATCATAAATACTTATATTCCATTCTTCTAGATACTGAACCTTCACTGCTGTCAAATACAGCAATATATTTCTTGTTATCAGCATTATCCTTGGCCTCATCTTGAAGGATATCGAGGATTTCTGAATTTTTGTGAACCAATCGGCTAACATTATCATAAATAATAACTGGCAGTTTTCCATGTTTTGCTTTATACACTTCAGAAGCACGCATAAAAACATCCATAGCTTTCTCCCACTTGGAATAGGACTGCATGGCTTCACCTATAAATAAAAAAATAAGAATTAAAAATGATAGTCTTAGAAAATAAAACAGAAATAGAAATCTCACTTTCAGTTTTGTCAAAAATTCTTTTTTTCAATTTCAATGTAATTGAGATATCTTCTTCAAAAGAAAAATTAAGAGCTTTTCCAAATTTGTCATCCAGTTTATTAAAATTTGGAGGAATATCAACATAAATAACACCTTGTTCAACTTCATTTGCTACTATCCTGAACAATGATGTTTTTCCTGTTCCGTGTTCTCCACAAACAACATGATAATATGAATGATTTTTGCTTGGTTGAAAAATTCTTTTAAGAAGATTTATAATTCCAGGTCGAGGAATATACTCATCATCTGACACAGTCAACTTTGGCTGAGTGCCTTTTTCCATAGTTTCGTTGATAAGTCACTTATTAGAATGGGATACCTATCAAATATAAAGAAGATCTCCTGCGAAAAAGAATACACCTCTACTTCACAAAAATGCCATTGCGTCCTATGCTCATTTTTTCCAATTAATAGAACGTAAATAGGTTTGTATTGAAGTCTATTTCTTACTCCAGGCGGACTTCCAGTTTTCAAAATTATTAGGGGCAGAATTCGTATAAGGTCTATAAAGTGACAGTTGAAATGGAACAGGTTCCGAGTTTCTCAACACAAAATTTTACCGATGAAGGAATAGAGTATGGTGAGACAGAAAAATACATCTACGAAAGTACAGTGTGATTTTGGACATCAGAATGGTTATTGATTAGATCTTGATTGACAAAAATTTATACATTTTTTAACTGATCTGAAAAATTTAGTAAATCGCAAAACGCATTTGAAGTTTTAATTTTATTCAATGAGACCCAATTCTCGAAGATGTTCTGAAATAACTATATATGGGTCTTCATAATTCCAAACATATCTTAAAACAATCTGATTTTCTTCCTGTTTTTGCTGTTTAATAAAATTATTGGGATTTCCTTTATAGAAGAATTTGTGATATTTTTCATGTTGAGATCCCTGGACTTCAATTGCAAAACCATAATTATAGTAGGGAATGTCAAGTTCCAATCCATTCGGATTTTCAGGAGTTTCAAAAATTCTGGTCTATGATTTTCCGATGGAGATTCAAGATATTTTAATACTATTTTTCGACATAAATTTTCATATTTATTTTTACAATATGAATGCCAGGTATTATGATTTCTAATAACATAAAATGATGTACACTAAGTATGTCCTTCAGTACATTTCCAATAATATAAATCTTTGGATTTGGTGTATTTTTTAGAAAGGCATTCGCCATCACGCAAACGAGCAGTTCGCCACACCATATTAAGATTTAATATAACTCCCCAATTTACACAATATGGACACCATGTATTACAATTTTTTATACTATCAAAAGATATGAGATTTATTGTATTACCATAATAATGGAGTTATATTATTAATATATTGATTAGAAAGACATTTTCCTTCTTTATTATATGCAATTTGTTTAGCATGGTCAAGAGTAAGATGATTATTAGCACAATATGGACACCATTTACCATAGTTTTTTACATTGTTAAGAGATACATATCAGGTATGAGATTTATTGCATTGCCATAATAATGGTGATTTATTGTTAATATATTTTTCTGAAAGACATCGTCCACATTTAGATAGTACAATTTGTTGAACATATTCAATGGTAAGTTTTACAGTACCTATACAATATGGACACCACGTTCCATCATTTTTTATTTTACCAAGTGGAACACTTCATGTATAAGTCTTAGAACAATACCATATTAATGGAATTTTATTATCTTTATATTCAATTGAAAGACATTTCCCATTACAAGATTCAGCAATAGCACAAATATCATTTAAAGATAATTTTTTCATTGTGATAGATATATTTTAATGAAAAACTATTTTTTCAATATGAAATTATAATTGGTAATGGTCAATTCTATAATCAATTAAAATAGAATATAAAGCATTGGCAGAATTTAACATCAGAAATTTTATATAACATTCTACAATGTTTTACGAATGGAACGTTCGTATAGCGTTCTATATATGCCATTCTAGAGGTGCAATCCGGATCGATCCGCGTGATCTGTAATCTGTATTACCATCAAATTTTCAATCTGTTATTCGTCCAATCTGTGAATTATTTTTTTTCCCATAGATAATAAATTATAATTATTTACATCAAATATTGATTTCAATAACCTGTGATCCAATTTTAGCAATTTATAGCTCATTATATTCTCCTCACCGAGGCGAACATTTTGGTAGTTGTTTCATCCAGATTGGACATCTCTACGTCATGTTATTAAATAAAACATGCTTAATCAATAATAAAATTCTTTTATAATTATCCACATCAAATGACGATTTCAATAACCTGTGATCCAATCTTAATGATTTATAGCTCATTCGATTCCTCTCACCAAGGCGAACATTTCAGTGGTTATTTCATCCAAATTGGACATCTCTACACGATGTTATTAAATAAAACATGCTTAATTAATAATAAAATTCTTTTATAATTATTCACATCAAATATTAATTTCAATAACCTGTGATCTAATTTTAGCAATTTATAGCTCATTCAATTTCCCTCACCGAGACGAACATTTCAGTAGTTGTTTCATCCAGATCGGACATCTCTACACCATGTTATTAAATAAAACATGCTTAATCAATAATAAAATTTTTTTATAATTATCCACATCAAA